ATGCAAGAGTATTCTAAAAAACAACCATAAACCATAACAAAAATATTTTTGTACAAAGAAATATGTGCCACACAAAGACAGTGAATATTTTCATTGTTAAATGTAATTTCCTATTTACTAAGATGAATTTCCTCAAGGTGACAATAGTAACAATCTTCAATTTATTAAGTACACAGTTGATATTTATGGTAACATTTTTTTCTCTAATCACTTATATCCTCATGCCCTCTTCCATCTTCACCAACCCTCTGCGCCCCCTCCCCTCCACAATCACGACGCTGTTGTCCATGTCCATGAGTTGTTTTTTTGTTTACTTCTTCCATTCCCATCTGCCCCCCCACCAGAACTGTCAGCTTGCTATCTATCAATCTGCAACATATTTTAATAACAGATTTTTTTTTTGTTATTTTCAGACTATTCAAAAGTTCATCTAACACAACTTTTGGAGAAGGCTGAAGTGATTGCAGGACGGATGCTAAAATTTTCTGTGTTTTATCGTAACCAGCACAAAGAATACTTTGACTATATTCGGTAAGGGTCAAATATATATAATATTAGCCTTATTAAATTACATTCAAAATTTTAGGCTTAGGTTTACCTTGAGTCTAGTTCTGGGGAATAGCAATTTTAGTTTTCAAAATAGTTAATTATACTCTGATTTTATTTCCCAGAATAATTAAGTAGAAAAAGTTAGATCATATAATTTTTCCACTTCATTTAGATTCCTTTCCATAATCATTTGTAATACCAATCCTGTCTATTTGAGTAAAAGATCTTAACTCTCCAGTATTTAGGTTGATGTTCATTTCATGTATACACTCCTCTAATTCTTAAGAAAATCAGTGCCTCTGTCTCATATCAACTACTAAATCTTCACGTCTTCTGTGGATCTCTAAGACGTTAAAAAGCGAAATAAAAGAGTGATTATTCCCTGAAATATGATAAATCAGGTGGGATTTTGAGATTTCTGTCATGAGGACGGTTTTGTTGTTGTTGTTGTTGTTGTTGTTTTAATTGTTGGTTTGAGAGAGAGATCCACTTATTTATACATTCATTGGTTGATCTTGTATGAGCCCTGAGTGAGCCCTGAGTGGCATATCTGGACTATGCTCTAAACAACTAAGCTACTCGGCCAGGGCTCTTTTGTTTACTTTTGAATTAAAGAGTTTGGCCAATATTTCCAGGACAGCCTATGTTTAGTCTTGGGAGCAGTTTCCAAGAATTCAAAAGAATTTTAAGCAATAGGTAATTTCAATATTTACAGTCCTTTTATATTTGTATGAGAAAATTTGAGGAGAATAAGTAAGGCAGATGTGTTTTGTAAAGTGAGACTACGTCTTTTAAAATAAATCCTATATATAGGTTCTAAAATTTTTAATTTATAATAAAAATTATAGTAATCCCTATGTTATTTTTAAAAGCCTTGGTTTCATGTTAAACGCTAAAGGATTCTCAAAATGACAAGATTGTATAGGAAAAATTAGGAAACTTTGTTTCATCTAACTTAGTTTTTCTTAAGTCAAGACTCTAGTTTCATATTTGGATCAGCTCCAAGTTGTGAAAAATGAAAAAAATAAAGACTGTAGAGAGAGAAACTATAATTTATGTAGCCTTGTTCAAAGGAAGTACTTTGTAATATCAAACATGTTTGTATATTTTGATGTCAAAAACTATTTCTGCCTTCTATGTTTGAATATCCTATGAATAATTAGTTCATGACTCTTTTAGATGGTAAATTTTCTAACCCTTAAGTCTATATAACTCATGGTGGATGCCATTCACTTAATTTACAAGTACAAAATGAGAGATACAGCACAAATCATTATACCTGTCAGTTGTTGAATAGAAATGAATATATATACTCACCAAGAAAGGTATATCTTTATATTTGTTAAGCCTAAAAATTTGGGGGGGGAAAGATCCACTATTGCCATTTTCTTTAATAGAAATACAGCAATAGAAATAAACACATCTTTGGTATTAGGTTTAGATTCCTGAAACACTGCCCATGTCTATTTTAGATGGCCACTGGAGGTCAGTATTCCTCTGATTTTCTCTGTTCTTTGGGCCCTGACCTTCTGTTTCCCCATCCTTAGATACTCTAAAATTGGCTTCATCTGTTTCCAAAAATTCTTCCAAGAAAAAAAAAAAAAAAAAAAGGCAGAGCATGGAATATGCAGTTAGTGTATACGTAATTATTCCAATATGCTAGTATGAAATATGTATTTATTAATAAGGAAATTTTTTGTTGGATTTTTCCATAACAGTTATAAATTAAAGTAAATTCATTTATTTTTTTCTGAGCAGGAAAATTATTATGTTAAAGACCTCCAAGGTTTGCAACAGAACATTCTTACCTATAGTCAAGGCTAGAACTTAGCCATCTATAGGTAAGGTAAAAAATGCATTCTGCTTGATGTCATATAGGACAAGCATTTGGGCTCTAAATAGAGAGTTGACTTTTAGGCCTATAACCATTCAAATTTATAAATCAGGAGCATTAGCCATTATTGTACCAAGCATTGACCATTTCTTTTCTCTTGCAGAGAACATCATGGGAACGCTATGCAGCCCTCTGTCAAGGATAACAGTGGCAGCCATGGCTCTCCTATCAGTGGAAAATTAGAAGGCATCTTCTTCAGCTGCAGCACTGAATTCAATACTGGGAAGCCACCCCAGGATTCACCTTACGGAAGATACAGGTTTGAGATTGCAGCAGAAAAACTTTTTAACCCCAATACTAACTTATACTTTGGGGACTTCTACTGTATGTACACTGCTTATCATTATGTGATTCTTGTTATTGCCCCTGTGGGCTCACCAGGAGATGAATTTTGTAAGCAGCGTCTTCCTCAACTAAATTCCAAGGATAATAAGTTTTTGACCTGCACAGAAGAAGATGGGGTGCTGGTATACTACCATGCCCAGGATGTCATTTTAGAAGTCATTTACACTGACCCTGTGGATCTTTCTCTGGGCACCGTGGCAGAAATCACTGGTCATCAGCTCATGAGTTTGTCTACGGCAAATGCAAAGAAAGATCCCAGCTGCAAAACCTGTAATATCAGTGTTGGACGTTAATGCCCCCTTTTCTTACTCTTATTCGGTCCCTTTCTTTCCCTTAGAAGCATTGATCCTCAGCTGTCCATTTTCATTACCAGATGTTTTCCACTGAAGCATGCATTTGCCGCTATCACCAAAAGCAAACTTCCACTTTTCAAATTTCATTCAGAGCCGTTTTAGTATTTCCTGTTTCCTACCCTTCCCATGACTTTCTCTGACGAATATCCTGTTCTCCTTCTGACACTTTATTATCTAGATGCTGCAATGTTTTTATTTTTCTTTTATGCCAAACTTAACAAAAGTTATATAGACCGCTTTAGCAAAATACAAAAATAATGGCTTATAAATGGTGTTTAAATATGCATTCATTTTTATCTACTGAAAAAAAAAAATTGGGATAACTTCAAACCGCATGACAAGATGTAATTGCAGCATGAGTTAAATCTTGAAGTCTAGAATTGTCAGCACTTCCAACTTGTTGTTTGACAGTGTTATTTATGTTATTTATATTAGCTAACAGGAAACAACTACTGTGTTTCAACATAATAAATATAATAGAAAAATATTTTATTTGTATTGTATAAAATATTTACAATCATATAGAATATATAGTTACATTTTAATAGCAATTGTACACGTCATGAAACCATTTCCCTTATCAAAGATGTAGTTTGTAAACCTCAAATAGTTATGTATCTGTCCTGTTACAAGTAGATGACTTTAATTAAATTATGAAGGACATTATTCTGATTCATAGAAATTACAAAATATCAGGTAAATACAGAGAAAACAATAAGACTCTGAAATAGTCAATATTCTTCTCACCCAAACTATGTGAATTTGTTCAACATCATGCTTAAACATTACAGAAAATAGAAATACAAACATGGTTGGTACAAGAGAAAACAACGACTTTTTACTTATTTTTACAAAAGCAAAACAAACAAACAAACACAAAACAATATAAAGTTGATGAAACTAATAAAATATTCTGGCTTTTTTTCCAAGGTGTCACAGCAAACAATTTTCTAATCTTTCATTTTATAGAGAATGAAGAAAGCTCTTTGACTTGACTTGACAAAGTATAGACCTTGGAACATTAAGAAAAATGCATATTCCCAATGAAAAAATAGTTATATAATCTTCGTTATAGTAAACAAAAAGATTAGCAATCATAGCTATAATCACATTAGATATATACTGCAGACACTTACCTATCCAAAATACCTATTTTCAAATTTCAATACAATATTTTATTTTAATATAAACATCTGTCAGTTATAGACAAAGATAATTCACAAAGTACATGCTATCAGAATGAACTTTGGTAATCAGAAATGTAAAATTTCAATTAACATAAAATAATGTGCTATTTTTATATAGAAATAAAAAATTAGCAGTGACACATTCTATTATATTTTAAGGTATTAAAAGCCTAAGCAGACAAAGGGGACAAGGTAGATTTTTTTTTTAATCACTTAAAAATCTACTAGAAGTTTCAAATAAATTACTTTCTAACTATCTATATTCCTTCCTACCAAAAAGAGTTTCTTTTCCTCCTCTTAGAGTTTTTAATAAAATCATACTTTTTTCCATTAGCATAAGCAGTCTTTGGACACTAGACTTCCCTGAACAAGTGGGTGTTGTTTAGATTTGATAAAATATTAGATGTTTTCCGAAAATATTATACTGAATGAGTGTCTCCTTGGCATAGAGGAAGTTGACTTTATTTTTCTAATTATACTGTTACATATTGTATTCCCCCACACACACTTAAATCTCTTCATCATTTATAATTACACTTGCCATCCCTTCTTAAAAACAGCTAATACTACCACTAAAGTGCTTTAGTTTGTCAAAACTACTTACTCAGCAAGAATGGCAGAGGAAAATAAACTTTATCTTGGATGAAAATGATCACAAACATTTCTTGAACCTCAAATAGTTTTGGCCACATCTTGCTTGCTGATTAGGACCTCTAAAAGTCTCAGTTTGGCTTTTATGTGCTTATATTCATAGTACTCATCTGCCATGGGTATCTTATCTTCCTTTTGTGGACTTCTGCAAAACAGAAAATACCCTCTATTGGTTCACAATGAATCAAGTCATTACAAATCCTTTCATGATTCTTATTTGAGAAAAATATGGGGTAGCAGTTTCCACTTAGTTTTTGCATTATGCCTTTTTTACCTTCCCTTTCACCTTCACTCACTCTCTTCCATATATAATATTACTATAGTAATCTTTGAAAACTTGACTTTCATATGTATTTGGCAAATATATAGTCCAGTACATAGACATATCAGTAGGGCAGGTGAAAGGTCTAAGGGGGGAAAAAAACAGAACAAGGCATTCCTTGTCTAGTGATTCTCCCATTACCCATGCCACAGGTCCATGCCTATACAGAATGTTCCACCTTTATAGTGATACTGGTTAAAAATATCAAGTAAAAACACTACAGAAATCATGGTAACAAAAATATTTTATAAATGTATGGTAATATAAGGAGAAAAAGCTCAATGACTACTTACAAACATTAAATACAAGTTTTCTTGAGATGATAATACCTGTTTTTGCAAAAGTATAGTGGAATCACTGAGTTCTTTAAGAAATTTACCAGTGTAAATTTCAGTGGTTCTCTTAGCAAACTATACTAAGACTAGACATGATAATGCATAGATTTACATACATATGCATTCTAACTACTACATGTTCTTGCCATGTTCTTTGCACAACAATTGGGAAACATATGCAGTTAAAACCATTTGCCTTCCCACAAAAATGTTGCCAGGACATGTTCCCTAAAGAGCAATAATTGCTTCAGGATATCAAAAGACTCATGCTTGACAAGATGGCCAATTGCTTTTAAGACATTTTATCCATTACTTTGAAATACAATGGGTAGAAAACATAAGTGAAGTCACCACAGTTGCTACTAAATATAGAAAACAAATATTCTCCAATAATACTATGACTGAAAATGGGTAAATAGCAAATTTTTAATGCTTTACCTATACCCTCTTCTATAAAGATATATTTATATCTCAACAAATAAAAAAGCTAGTCCCTAAAATGTAGTTATCTACCTGTATTGCACCACTATACTCAGAATAGTATTCAAATCTATAGACAGGGTTCCTTTTAAATGTCAAAATTATATAACATAATTCCTTTGCCTTCATTCTGTCTTATGGGCCACATCATGACTGGGTGTCTAAAAGCTGCCTTAATTTGTGTACACATATATAAGTGAATAATTATCTATTTTATAGGAAAACAGGAAGAATCCATTCTGTAATTTTCCCTGGTTCTGTGTACTCCATTTTGGCTAATAAATAAGAGTGCATTGGCCCAAATGAAAAATGTTGCTAGTATTTCCTGAAGCAGTTTTACCATTATATAAAACATGCTTTAAGTATTTATTAGCATAGTTCCTGGCTCATAACTGTTAATAATGTAAATTCTATAGGATAAAGGTCTCATGCATGATAAATATTACAAAAACATTTATATTAGCTTAAAATTTTTAGTAATCCATGTGCATGGTTATGTTACCTTATGGATAGATAAGCCTTTCCAATAAAATGTCTTATGAAAACAAGTTTAAGAAACATATTTCGAAGCCATACAATAAATTGTACTATATCACTACTTTTACATTTAGTTAAAATGTATTACCACAAGAGGGCATACAACCTCAGTCAAAACAGGATTATCTGAAATGGATTCAAGACTAACAGGTTCAGTAGAATATACTGTATGTGGAACATAACTAACTTCCCTGTATATAAGAATTTATGTCAAGTTACCATTGCAGATCCACTAGTCAAGAATACTAGTAAAAAAGTTCTCAAACTCTTCATAGTAGACTCATCGGTTCAAATAGGTAAAAATATAAATGTAAGAGTTGTATGGAAATTTTATAAAGGGAAAAATGGAAATTGCACAAAACAAGAAATTATGTTTTATTGTCTAAGTTTAACAGCCATGTAACATTCTCATTAGATTAGTTAGCATCAGCAAAAAAAAAAAAAAAAAAAAAAAAAAGTAGCTTGGACTTGTACCAATCAATTGGAAAGGAAGATTCCAAGCAGAAAACTAGGTTGGTTACATCTGTATTTACTAAATGCATAAAGTTTCTGACTTAGTAGGACCAGTTTTAGTGAACAGCCCTGAAGGACTGAAATGGAAACGTGGCTTAAGAGGTGAGTAGACTTACACTTTTTCAAGATGCTTTAGAAAATAGCCTCTATCCGTCAGGGCAACCTCATTCTGCTGAAATGAAAGCAGTTCAGGAAGGGCAGATGTGTAGATGGAAAGGACAACAGAGGACCCAGTGCACCACTGACTTCCACCTTTGCCACCTAAATAATTTGGGTGACTTTGGGAAAATTATACCCTTTATTATTTAAGACTGATGTCCCCTGTGACAACTATGTGCAGTCATTTCATCATGGAAACAGGCTCAGGATAGTTAAGTGATTTGTCACTGTCTCTTCCAGAAGTAGATCAGTAACCCTTGTATATAATTTTGGTAACTACACACCAAAATTTAGAGGAAATTAATGGAGTATATAATGAGACACTTGGGACAAAACAGAAAAAGAGAAGACAAATAGAGGACATAGCTAAATATTTTTGAAGGAGCAAAAAGAATCCTGACCAAAATCCTGAAATAAAAGAAGGGCAGATCCTAAAGTTTAAGAGATATATTTAAAGGAAAGAAAGAATTACTTAATAAATTAGAGAATAACTTGTAGAACAAATAAGTTATTTGGACTGAAAAATCAGATTTTTTAAAGCTTTAAGTAAATTCAATAGTTACATTTATTATTTAACGTTAGGGATTTTTGGAGTTCATCCTTTATTTTTTAAACTTTCATGTCATACTTGATAGTTACAGCTTTCCATAAAACATACCTAATAATAGATTATCAGAATGTTGTATTAGACAAATCCTGTGTCTAATTCATTACGGGAATTGTTTATATCTTGTATAGAGTCACTGTTCCTCAAAAACTTTTAGTTCATTCTTAACAATAGGTCCCCAGGAAATACTAACTTAAAATATTTCTCTGCAAACTTACCTTCCTGTTTGTTTAAAAAATTGTTCTTCAAATTCTCTTAAGGCTTTCCGAAGTCTCTTCTTGTCAGCCCTCGTTTCTCGGAGATGGTCAAGAAGTACCGGCCTATATAAAATAAAATATATATTTGCCATAATTGAGCTCTGGCATACTTGAGAGACCATCCTACGTAGACTTATATATTTAGCAAAAACATATAATGATAAAGAAATGTTCTGCCTAAAAGGGTATCTTTGAATCAGTATGGCACATGTAGAGCCTGACCACAGGAGAGCACAAAAATGGAGGAAAGTACTTAATGAAAACAATGTCATGGGAAAGGAGAGAGGACAAGGACAAATAGGAGGAAAGCAGAATAAAAAAGTGGTGAAGGTAAAGGGCATATAAATAAATGAGGAAGAAATGAACATTTTTAAGGAATATTCATCGGTATTTGGTGATAGACTGAAGAGAAAAGGATTTTAAAGAAAATTCTATCCTTAATCTAGAGTATGGGGAGAATAGCAAAACCCTTGGGAATGAAATTAAGACCCCCCAAAAAAACTACATGCAAATTCCACCCATTTCATTCTAAGACAAGAGAGAAAAGTCATATACTTTAGAGCAGGAAATTTTATCTGGGGAACTTGTATATGTTTTCAGAACTCTGAGTTCTTGGAAATTATATATGGGCATTTTCATTTAAAAAATTTCATTGCATTAAAAAAAAAAGTCTACCATCCCAAATAAGAATAGCTGCTTTAGAACTAACCAACCAACCAACAAATAAAGGAAAGGAGGGAGGAAGGAAAGGAGGAAGGAAGGAAGGAAGGAAGGAAGGAAGGGTGATTTTCTGCTTCCAAACAGGTCACTCATCTGTGAGCTGAAATTCATGTACCAACTGACTCTACAATTACACTAAAATCTCAATTTATACTTTAGTCCTTAATCCCACCTCATATATTTGCAGAGATTATATCCCTATCTTGGAGCATACAGTTATCACATTATAATACACATTAAAGAAAATCTCATAATCTGGCTAGTAATATATAAACCAAAGGAAGGTCAAATAATTAAGAGGAATGCCCTCTATTGAATAATGATAATGACACCACTAATGAAATAATGAAAAACCAAATAGCTCCTGACTGAGGGGCCTTTAGGAGACAAGGAAGGCTCATTTAACTTAAGGTCAAGGGGATTCCCAATCTGGAGGAAATCATCTTTTTTGAATGAAGTGGAATGTGGTAAAGATTTTAACAACTATCGACTCAAGATTTCAATTCCTTTTCGTCCAATATTTTCAAAGGCCAAGAATTAGACTGGTGCCAGGCCCTGAGGGAAAGATGTGCAACGGTAGCAAATTGAACCTAAGCATTTACAGCATCCTTAGGGAGCCTTGGTTCCTCATGGCATTGTCTTCCTACTTCTCCAGTTAAGACAACCAGATTATGCTTTGAAGGCCTCCCTCTGTCTGATGGCGTTTTCTAAAGTCTAATAGCGCTTCTGAATTTTGTACCACAGACCAGAGGCATTAAAAGGTGACCCCATTCATTTTTAGGGTTCATAACTCACATGGTGGCCTCATGTAAATTAGACATGGAGAGGGCTGGTGGTTTGATTTCTTTCTTTTCGTCTGGTAGCAGGCCTCTTGCAGGTTCAGTCCCAGAATAGGTGAGGTGATCACCACCAGGAAGGTAAGATGCTGGATTTGGCAAAGAAAGCTGTTGGTTTCTTTGTATACAGTCTTCATCAGAGTCCTCTTCCTCCTGCTTATTGCGGGCAGAGTTAAATGAAGTCACAAAATGCTAAGTGCCTCTTGAGGGAGCAAAAACAGGATAGGGAACCATAGGTAAACACCCTGAAAACAGTAGATAACCCCTATGCCTACTGAGAACCAAAAAAAAAAAAAAAAAAATACCAAGAGGAACTCTTCCTCAGTTGCATCAAAAAATTTACAGAAGTTAATGAGCAAAGAAATACCCATGCTGGGCTAAAAAGTTTGCCAAGTCCATTTGCTGGGCCAATGAAAGCATAAGCATCCAAGACATGGTACACTCTGGGCTGCATTCCCTCCCTTTTACCCAGACCTTCTAGGCCCCAGCTTCATAACAGTTATATGGGTCAGGATGGCAAAACACCTCTTGCCATCCAGAAATACCTTATGTCAGATCTTAGTGTGGGCCTAATCAAATACAGAGAATACTCAGAAAATTGACAAATTCAGGAAGAGTTCTATGAAAGCCAAAGTAAAATGAAGTTATTTATTCCTTAAGCTGTTCTGGTAATGCTTATCACAACCAAGAGACTTTATTTGCAGGGGGGAAAACACACACACACATACACACACACACACACACACACACACACACACACACACACAAAAAAAAAAACCCTGAAAACCATACCCCATTTTAAATTATATTTACTTAATAAGAAAATTCCAAAGATTATGAATCGTTATTGTTGTCTTTAAAACTGTGGAAGAGTAAATGTACTCAAGTATATTTAAATTTATATTTGTTAATATTTCCTTTTATATTGACCAAGTGACTGTTTGAATATTGATGAAGTAGGGTTTGTGGTGCTTTTCTAGTTCTGTATTCCCATAAACCATTCTTTATTAAAAGTAGTCTAACTCAATTTCAGTAGTCATATTTTCTATTGAAATGAATCTACTTATATCTTTACAGTGATGGTCAGATGGTACCAAAACAGATGTTGCATTATATCAATTGTTGCATTATATCAACCACCAATTATCTTGTTAAGGGAGATAAGATAACTAACACAGAAAATAGAAAGGCTGTCTAGCTGTGTTGCAAATTAGACAATGCCAAGCTGAAATCTATGGTTTGTTCTCACCCAAGCATGGAAACAAATGTTAAAACTGACTTCAATATTACAGTTGCCAGAGATTCCTGTTTAATAATAGTTTTAATCATCAGCCACATTAAGTAGAGTGGAGAGAGACCATGCTTCTATATATAATATATATATATATATATATATATATATATATATATATATATATATATATTTTAAATAACTGGCCTTTTTGGCAGCATATACTGCCAAGAAGGTGCCTTTATAACTTTCATAGTACTGCCTCTCTAACTAAACATCACTCCAAAGCACAAGTACAGGTCTGGTTAATGCAAGCATCCTGACTCACAATTGTTGGAATCAGGGAAGGTGTTGACAAGATTTGCTTGATAATCCGGCATCGATCATAAAGAGGCTTTACGAGGTTCTTATCTTGCTTAGTTACCTGAAAAAAAAAATTAATTACTGTTCCTTTCTCACATAGGAATTAAAATGATATTTTTAGTAGGCAAAAAAAAGTTCTGAATCCTCAAAGTAAGGGATTATAAAATATAATGCAATAGTAACTAGAAAGGGGGAAGTCATTTATAAGATACTATGTATAGCACATGCCAATTTTTTCCTAGGAAAAGTTTCTTAAAGGATAGGTCCTAGTTTAGAAAAAAATTTTTAAAGCTTTTTAAAGGAGTCTTCAGTGTGTAAATGGTAAGGAGTCTGTTCTTTAATTATTTTTTTCATTCTTAAAAAAACCAATGGGTGAACAAGACCTATTGATTTTTCTTCTGAAATGTTTTCTATCTGGACTTTTGTGATTATATTCACAAACATTTATCTCACTCAGGACTTCATCACTATATGCTCAGATTATATCCTAGCTTACTGGCTAGCTCTGACATCAAAACTATTTTGGATAAGCAATTAACTTCTCTGAATCCTCTATTTCCTACCTATACAAGGTGGTTAGAATTTCAAAGTTCTTTACAAATAAAAAATTCCATGTCTTGTTCCACTAATGCATTCTATTACCCCTCTGCTATATGACCTATCTCTCAGCACTATTTTCAACAGGTTATCGGTACATGTGCATAAAAAGTTTAAATAGCTTCCTATTTACCTATATATCCACCTTCCTACCTTTTCTATCCAAAGTGCCGGACTTCTCTACTTGCTTTGCTTTCCTCCCTGTTGTATCCATGTTAATTCACTACATATCTACCACAACCACCCTTTCATTCTGGACCAATGGTTCTCCTTTGGCACGTAGTGAGAGGTGATTGATAAAAATAGCCTGTAGCATAATCACCCAGGTATCTTTTATTAAAGTACAAGACATAAAAGGGGAGGGAGTAAAGGTCCAAATTTTCAAGGGGGATGGTTTCTTAGATGCATTAAAAAATTACTGTATATATAAAACTTTCTTTTTCATAAACTTAATGGTAATCTCATAAACACACACACACACACACACAAAAAATACTGAGACATATAACTTAAAGGAAAAAGAGGCAACTGACCAAATTGGAGATATTTACAAACAAAGATTTACTGTCAAAAATATATAAAGAACTCATATAACTCAACATCAAACAACCCAATTCAAACATGACAAAGGACCTGATCAGAAACTTCTCCCAAAGACATATGGCCAATAGATACATGAAAAGATGCTCAAATTCACTAACTATTTGGGAAATGCAAATCAAAATTACAACGATACCACTTCACACCTGTTAGAATAGCTATTATCAACAAGACAAGTAATAAGTGTTGGAGAGGGTGTGGAAAAAACAACCCTTATTCACTGCTGGTGGGAATGTAAACTGATTCAATCCAGCAATCCCTCTTCTGGGTAACTACCTGAAAAACTTGAAAATATTTATTCCCAAAGATATATGTACCATTATGTCCATTTTAGCATTATTCATGGTGGCCAAGACATGGATACAACCAAAGTCCTTCGATAAAAGATTGGATAAAGAAGATATGGTACATATATACAATGGAATAGAACTCAGCCATAAGAAAAGATGAAATACTGTCATTTGTGACAACATGGATGGACCTTGATAATTTTATTCTAAGTGAAATAAGTCAGAAAAAGCTGAGAACCATGTAATTTCACTCATATGAGGGATACAAAATGAAAACTCATAGGCACCACAACAGTATGGTGGTTACCAGAGCAAAGAGAGAGGGGAGGGTAGTAGAGGGTACAGGAAGCCAAATATATGGTAACAGAAGATTATTTTACTTTAGTGGGTACCCAAGGCAATATAGAGATCATGTATCATAGAAACATTGAAACCTATATGATCTTATTAACCAATGAAACCTATATGATCTTATTAACCCTAATAAATTAAGTATAAAAAACAATGAAATGTATTAGGGGGAGAAGGGGAGTTGGATCTAATGAGATCATCTCAAATGCTAAAGAGATAAGGAGCCAGAAATAATACTAGTTACTTTGAAAATTGACAGTCCTCCCTTTGACTCTGTTGTAGCTTCTGGACTCCCTTTGAGGACCCACATGTTAAAGCTCTCCCAGGAGCAATACAGAGGCTTTAGATAGGTCTACATGCTCGTACAGATGCTCTCTATTTAAAGGACCGAACTTCAGATACTTGGTTTATTTGAAGGGGCTTCTGACATTTATTAAATTGTTCAAAAGATACTTTATTATAAATAATTAAAATAAATTGCCACTTAAAGATGACATTTGAAGGACGCTTAGGTTATTCTTTGATCTTTAGACTCTCGTTGCATGCCCCTGTTTTACTTTGATACCTCAGTAGGATAACCAATCTCCCAGTTTGCCCAGGACTGAGGTGTTTTGTAGACATGGAATTTTCAGTGTTAAAAGCAGCACAATCCATGGAAATCTGGGGTGGTTGGTCACCCCATTCCTCAACAATCTTAAAATTAACATGTCCAAAAACAGACCTCTTGAGTTGTCACTTCCACTCCCAATGAGCCCATCACTAACCTGGATACTTCCTTTTCACTTTCTCCCACCCAGTAATTCAGCATGTCCTTTGATTTTATGTCCCAAATATACTTTGAATATATCTTATTTCTTACCATCTACAAGGTTACCATGTTAATCCAAGCCACCTGTTTTACCCTCCCTTTTCCACTCTTTCTCCCTATGATTTATTCTCCATGCCGCAATCAGTAAGAATTTTTAAATGTAAATCACATCAAGTCACTTTCAAGCCTATAACCACTCAACAGCTTCCCAATACTTTGAAAATACTTTGAAAAGTGTTGGTCCCAGGAAGAAATGGAGAGGTACCTTAGAATCTTCCTCAAAGGGAAGCTGCTGTCTCTTATCCAAGCAAGTCAACACGGCATCTGGAGTCTCCTCTCCCGAGGAGCTTGGCTCAGGGCCCACAGCTTCTGGCTTCCCTTCTCTGGGGACCGTGGGTTGCTCACAGGATAGGTTTCTAGGAGGCCCTTTGGAAGCACCTCCTTGTTCTTCCGACAGCTTCAATTTTAGTTCTAAGAGAAATGCCATGAGTTACTGTGAGCAAGGTAACTGGGCCTTATAAGAGCACAGAGACTTTGAGGAATTCCCGCCCCTTATGCCAAGTCAGCAGAAATGAAGTCTGCTGATGGTAGCTTTCCATAGGGCAAGGGCAGTCTAACACCAGGACTAACAGCATTAGCTCCCAGTGACATGTGAACGTAGAGGGACCTCATGGAGGCTGGGATCTCATGGAGGTGGAGGATTATGTGTGGGAGCAACTCAGTGGTTTACATGTTAGAGTAGGAGTTCTGAAAGAAGACCCCCAAAGTTTCCACCTGTTAACCTACTGTAGCAGCTGAAATTCTATACTTGTAGATTCATTTACGTGGATTTTGAAAGTTTTGCAGTCATTAAGAGCCCCTGTGGAAATGCAAGTACTTCTGAAAGGCATTACACGTGCAAATGTCAGAGGACACGCAAGAGGGATGGGAAAGGGCGTGTGCAAGTAGCCAGCCCTCTCTTCACAGATGTCATAATTTGTCTAATGCCAGCTCTTCTAATCTAGGAACCACCACTATTGCAGTGTGGCTTTATATAAACCTACGTAACTTAAAAAGCCACCTGGGGCTTATCAGGGAATTACATTTCAGAATATGTTAGGGGACTGGTCATTTGAGCGAGGCTATTTAAATTGATTTCTCAATTACATAGCGCATTTTCTTTGCTTGATGTTTGCTTTTAGTGAGACACTGGTGTGGTGTTTAAACACTGCATATTTTATAAACCCGCTACATCATTCCAGTTTAACACCACTGAGTTATTATGACCTTCCAATTCTTTAGTCACCATACTTCTAGAAATGTGGAAACTCTCCCATATTTCTAAGTAGTGAAATGAATGTGGAGAGAGGAATAAATTTGTATTGGCAAATAACTACAGTCCTTTAAAATCGATTTTAGACTTAATTAATACTCACACCACCATCTCCAAAGAAGAACACTAGATTAAGAGGCAAGAGAACCGAGTTTTACACTTAGCTCACCACTCCCCAGCGACATAAACTGTGGGCACAAATGCCCTCACCTGCGCAGTGTGGTATGTGAAGTAAATGACTGCTGGGACCTCTTCTGGTTTCTAACATCCAAGAATCCAATAACCCAGGGAAGTTAATGCTCCACATATTGAAATGTGCCTGGCACTGAAGTGCATCATTTCACTTGCGAGTCTCAAGTTCCTCAGTCTATTTATAAAAGATTTATTAAATGGGCCTCAAACAATGAAGGAGACCCAGATCCCTTTATTTTCAAAATGGGGCTTTCAATCTAGGTGGGAGACAAGGTTAAAGGGGGCACAGTTGAAACAGAATTTTTAAAAATGCCCTGGAGTACATTTGTCGTTACTTTGACTGCTTCTTTTCTCAGAAAACACATTGGCATTATTTTAACTGCTGCTTTTCTTAGGAAAGAGACCCTTGGCTGGTTTTACCTTTGAGTTGTTTACGACCTTTAGCCAAATCATTCATCCATTTCAGGACTTCGGGATTAGAAGTCTTGTCACCATGTGAAGGCTACCAAGGGAGGGGGAAATGGGAATGGGAGGGAGGGAGAGAAAAAGAGAAAAAGAAGAGAAAAATTTTAAAACAGCTCAACACACAAAGACAGTTCCAGAACAAAACATATAAAGCTGGGAGATAAATTCAGGCATTAAAAACTCTAGCTCAGTGGTCAGCAAACTCATTAGTCAACAGAGCCAAATATCAACAGTACAGCGATTGAAATTTCTTTTGAGAGCCAAATTTTTTAAACTTAAACTTCTAAAGCCACTTCTTCAAAATAGACTAGCCCAGGCCATGGTATTTTGTGGAAGAGCCACACTCAAGGGGCCAAAGAGCCACATGTGGCTTGCAAGCCGCAGTTTGCTGACCATGGCTCTAGCTGATGGAGTTGCTTCCTCTACACTTTCATTCTTGTCATGGACATTGTTTCTAAACATGCCTGGCTACCCAGCATTTTCACAACCTCCTAACCATTCCAATGCCTTTGTGGGCCACGCCACCCCCCAACTACACACACACACACACACACACACACACACACACACACACACACTGCCTGCACTTTTTTTTTAATTGATGTGGATGAATGCCCTGATAGAAAACAGCGTTACTTTCTTGTGCTCACATCCGCGACTTATGACCACAACCTGCCTGGAGAATACTGAATATTTAGCTCCTATCAGTTATATCCTCCAAGTTGAACAAAGGAGACCAGAGGTTCTCTAAAACCTGACAGTAGTCTGGGAAGTCAGTATGTCAGGGTAACACCCAGACTTCCAATCCTCCCACTGTTTATAGACTCAGTATCAACTTAACATTAAGCTTAATCATATGTGTGTAACCTTCAGAAAAGTATTTAGTCTCTCTGTCCCTCAGTTTCAGCATCAAATGAGAATTATAATAGCATCTCCCTCATAGGGATGATGTGAGGAATAAATTAGTTAATATATGCAAAACACTGAAAAACACCCCAGGCATATACTTAACACTATAGATGTGTTAGTTAGAATTACAAATATTATTATTATTACTAACAGAGATGGTAGGTAGCAGTGTTACTACTAGACCTTCAAAGAAACACTGAATACATCTTCACCAACAAACAAATACATAGGGGTATTTTTTTAAATCAATCTTTATTGTTCATATTATTACAAAGGTTCCTCATTTCTTCCCCCCTCTACCAGGTTCCCACCCCACCCTCTGCCCTTTCCCCACCCCCATTGTCCTCATCCATAGGTGCACAGTTTATGTTTGGTCTCTTTCCATATCCACCACTCCCCTTTTCCCCCGAGAATTGTCAGTCCACTCCCCTCCTGTTTCTCTGATTCTATTATAATCAACAGTTGATATTGTTCATCAGGTTTTTTAATTTCCTTGTGTTGTTTTTTTTAATTAATAAAATCTAATAATTTTAAACCTTGTTTTTTCTGCCCTGGGAACTGAGAAGCAAACTTGTTTACATGTAAACTTGCCCTTAGGCTATCAAAAGGCGTAGCCATTCAAATGTAAATAGACACATTGTTTAAACATAGCTGCTAGCTGGAATTGGATTACCTGTTCTGGTGGGAAGGGCTTGTCCTCCCCTTTCTCCATTGAAATTAAGGTGTTAACTTTAAAACCTCTTTTTGGCAAGATACCTTAAACTTTCAGAACTTTAAATTTTTCAGGTAGTAAACCAATTACTTAGTATTTTCTCAAATCAATAATACCTCCACATGCCCAAGGATACACTTCACACAAAAGACACTTCCAAATAAATCAACCAACCTCATCCAGACCCCACACAAGGCACTCACAGATCAATACCCCAGCACTATAATAACTCAACACATCCAGATCTAAGCCTTCATCACTTGATTCAGCAGACCCTCAAGTTCCCCCAAAAGTTTCCAGCCATGTCTGAGAAGCAGCCCTGGGGCATGGGCAGGCAAGGAGCGAGCTTTTCCCGGCCTGGCTACTCCGGGCCTGGCCTCTGTTGCTCTGGTCCGCTCCACAATCAGCTGCTCCGGGCCTGGCTGCTCCCAGCCTGGCTGCTCCGGGCTTGGCTGCTGCTGTTCTGGGCCTGACTGCTACCGACCCGGCTGCTCTGGGCCCATCCGCTCCAGCCTAGCCGCTTCCAGCCTGAATGCTGCTGCTCTGGGCCTGGCTGCTCCCGACCCAGCTGCTCTGGGCCTGGCTGCTCCGGGCCCGGCCGCTCCGGGCCTGGCTGCTCCAGGCTTGGCTGCTGCTGCTCTGGGCCTGGCTGCTCCCGACCCATACGGGTATTTTTGTCCCACCAAGTAATTAATCATACATACTAGGGTATGGAAATAACAATATATGTTTTATTTTAGAAGGACATGACTCTGTTAATATAAATCATTCACCTTGATTTCTGAATTTCTTCACAGAGTATAAAAGTGGATTTTCTACAGAAAAGAGAAAGTAGGAGATAACAGCCAAACATACTGAGCCTCCATCCCCATTGATCAGTAAGAAACTTTCTTAAAAGAGTTGAGGCCACCCTGTTAACTAAAATGCAGGCTCAATAAGATTTAATAGTTCTTTGAATTGAGGAATATGCATCGAAATATAGAGTAATGTTCATGATAACATAATCATAAACATCATAATAAAAGAACCATGTGCACTGCTTGTGGCCAAGTCTAGGGGTTCTGCCATGTTTCTTTATGGGTCCACTAACTCCATGTAACATAGAGTTTTTGGTGAGACAGAGGCCTAGGGAGATGACTGTGTTCCTCTCAACTTCAAAGGGGAAAACTGCTTGTGTGACAGGGCCATCAAATGTGCTATTAGCGATTAATTAGATTAATTGTGAAACACCAGGCATGCTTCTGTCACTCCTAGAGTGACGTAAAAACCATGCTTTCTAAATCAGGATGGAAAAGATGATTGAAGGAAGTTGACAGTGATTATTTTCCCCAGGGGAGTTTAAAAGGGATACTATGGTTTCCAAAAGGGAAGCCCTGGTTTCAGGACCATGGAGAGTGATATGGGGCACACCTCCAAAATATAGAACTTAGCTTGGTCCTATCCATGGTTGGCTAGAATGAGGCCCTGTGAAACTTCCTTGACATACAGTCCGGTACTTTGGCTTTGGGATGTATATCAAGTCCAGATCCCATTATATGGGCAGTCAATGTACATTTTGTTTCTCTAAATCCTCACAGAATTCTCCACTCTGACCTGAAGAATCAGTCTTTGAAACTTGTCTTTTTTCACTGGATAGGCTCCACATAGTTAATGCCATCTTTTGAAATACTGTTAAAAACAAAAACAAAATCTTCTGACAAAATGTTTTAAAGTTTGAAATTTTCTGGAATGAATTTTTTTTTTATTTCCCTGCTCTTGGGGGATATTTCAAACGAGGTTAAATCAAGCTCACAAGGGTAGCAGCTTTCAAATCACATGGAAAGTTTTCATACACAGGTTTTGAATCTTTAAGCCTTTTAATTTTTTAACTGAATAATTCCAGTTTAACAGACACCCTCCCCCCCCCCCCCCCCCCGGAAAGCCATACACTCAGATATTACATTGTAGATTTTGTTCAGGGAAATAAAAATGGGGTGCCAGAGTTACATACTGAGGGGATCACTGGCTCAGAATTGTGGTCTGCTAACAGCAGTTTAGAAAGATTTCTAGATTAGGAATGAAAATACCTGAATTGTTGTCTGGCTAGATCAAATCTTTGCTGTGTGATCCTGGAGAAGTCATTTCCCTTCTCTGGGCCTCAGTTTCTCAGTGGTTAAGTAGGAAATAAGGCTGTCTGAACTCTTATCATTCAAACTTCTTTAACTACAGTGAAAGTGGACATCTGGCTAAAACAGCTTTTTTTTTTTTTTTTTTTTTTTTTTTTTTTTAGATCTATGGGGCTAACGATAGTTAAATGTAAAATCAGTTGTAGGGAATAAACATGGTCTTGGATAGGAATGCAAGGTGGTTCCTCGACAGAGAGGGAAAGATGTACTGAATGTTATACCAGGGCCTCAGACTAGCAAGCACAGAAGCCTGGCAGAGCTCAGATTCAAAAATTAGCACGGGGTGCTATCAATTCCATGGTCAGGCTGCCAGGATGGGAGAGCCTTACCCATGGCATCCAATTAAAGCCCATTGAGATGTCCAATCTCTCAGCACAGCCTGGCACCCTGACAGGAAGGGAGAGGAGAGGCCCTGTTCCCTGAGACAGTGGCAGGTTCTGATGGCCCCACAGACTAACACACACTGAAGCAGGGGTGAGCATGAAGCCTTCCAGCCCTACTGCAGCAGACCCATCCATGTGCATGTGTGAGTGTCTACCTGTGTGGGCCTGTGTCTGCTCTGGCGCCAAAGCTCCTCTAGTCAAAGGCAGAAGGCGCCAGGAGACATTCTCTTCTAACACAAGCAGGTGCTAGATGGCCGTTATAATTGAGAAAAAATAACAGGGTCTGTGGCTACATGTAGAAATGTCTAGCAGAGATCAAATGTGTATGGTTTTCCTTCCATTTCTGCCTGCTCCAACATCACTTAAATAGATTCAAAAGTGGATAGTATCTAGGACCACTACACCCTTTGTGCTAAACACTGTAATAAGTTTATGTGTGCACTCCTTCACTTAATGATCACAAACTTCTGAAGTCATTACTGATATTAACTCCACTTTACAGATGGATAAACTGAGTCTCAGAAAGGCCAAGAAACAAGTCCAAAGTTATAAAATCTGTGCTGGATTCAAATCCAGACCAGTCTGACTCACGAACTGCGGAGTAAGAATTATTGACAGGATTTGGGAATGGAGGCCCCTACTTGTCACTCAACAGTATCCAACGTGAGGGCATCACAGATCCACTAACACTCCAGCAGCAAACAGAGAACGTCAGCTTCTCTCAGGAAACCTAGAGCTTTCCAAATGTGGTTATTATGAATTTGGCCTCTATTCCTCCATTGTAAAACCTACTCGAACTCAGTCTACCACCCAAGCCTGAGCTGACAGAGCAAAACTACATTAAATTATAAGGTCCTTCGCTGGGCCTCAGTCACCTTACCTGTACTCCCAATGTGTAGAGCACCCTCCTGCTCTATAAAGGACAATGCGTAGCTGTAACTCCCTGGCTTCAAATTAGGGAATAATTTTTAATACCCCAACTTAGGTTGTCCTGAAAGTCAATCAGATTTTTTTCTCCATTTTGCAAAGCTAAACAGCATTCCCTTAGTAAACTTAAATCCACTGTAGGAAATACAAGACAGAACAGGAGTGGCACATCTCCCACTCTCACCTTCCTTCCTAGAACTTATCCTACATTCACAGAGACCTGCTGATTACCCCTGTACCAAGTGCTTAGTGAGCCCTCCAATATTTCAAGATGTATGAGACGTTATTCCCTGTTCTCTTTTATTCTAATAACAAGCTGATCTGGGCTCTCTGCCAAAGACCCTGTACCTTTGTGCATTTCTACATGAACATGAATTTTCTCTATGACATGGTCACCACTACAGAGAATAAATAAAACTAGCATTGCCCAGGCCAGTGTGGCTCAGTTGGAGCATTCTAAAAGGTCACAGGTTCGATTCTCGGTCAGGGCACATACCTAGGTTGCTGGTTCAATCCCCAGTCAGGGTGTGTACAGGAGGCAGCTGATCAATGTTTCTCTCTATATATATCTTCCCCTCTCCTCCTCTCTCTCTCTCTCTAAAATCAATTTAAAAAAAAAAAAAAACACAACATATCCTCAGGGGAGAATTAAAAAAATAAAACTAGCATTGGCTACCAAGACATGTACCTCTGACTCTACTGTTTCTTATGTAAGAAAACAATTGGACAAAGAGATAAACCAAAGATTTTATATACATAGATCATGGACACAAATAATAGGGTGGTGAAGACCTAGAGGTGTCAGTAGGAGCTGGGCAGAGGGAGTACAGTGGAGAGGGGAAGAGGTAGAAGACATCTGTAATACTGTCAACAATAAAATAAAAAATAATTAAGCTTTTTAAAAAAAATGAATTCTACACTGCAGCACCAGCAGGCAGCCAGTGTCTCTCTGACAGGAAAGGACAGATCAGGTTGTTCTTATGAGAGGCCTAAACAAATGTCACTTGAGAGGCCTTCATCCATCAACCAGGAAGCACTCTTCATGTCAAAGAAAACTCTCATTATGTTCAATTAGAGATTCTGTCCTTTAGGTCATTAATAGGTTCTTATCAAAATGCAAATGGAAAAGGGTTAAAGGGAAAAATAAAAACATAATTCAAAAGCTTTTCAAACTTTAATTCCTAGAAACACTAGTGATAGTAAGGTTCCTTGAGGGGCAAGGAGGAGAGATCATTAATTAAATTATTTTGAAAATAGCAATGTAATTAATTACTAGGAGCTATCTTAGTAGATATCAACCTACGATAGCATGTGAAAACAAGACAGACCCTAGATGGGAACTCAATTTAGGATGGGTCCTGGGCTGGCCAATGAAATGAGAGCTGTCCTTCATACAAAATGGTACCGAACAGGAAAGACAGAAAAGCCAACGCATCTCTTTACATAAACCGTGCTCTTATTTTAAACCCTATAGTCCTTACCCGGTATTTCTTTTCTTGTTCAAATTTCTCTTCAAATTTCCGAATTTTCCTCTTGAGGCTCTGGATGTGCTTGGTGAGCTGGGCAACGGTCTGGGGCTCCTTGCCACCACTACAGCTGCACCGTGAAGAACTCCGGGGCCTGCAGTGATCACAGGGAGAGAAAGAATAAGCAAAACCAACAGTCTTCCAGTAAATGCCGCTGCTGATCTACAAATCACTCATTTTTTGATGCGTCTGCCATGGCATCTGCTCATCAATGGATGCCCCTGATCAGTGTCAGCAGGAACTTTAATGTACCGTATTTTCCGGCATATAAGACGACTTTTGAAACAAACAAAAAAAGTCAACCGAAAATTGGGGTCGTCTTATATGCCGAGTATATCCCGAAAAAACGTCTCAGTATGCCGCTAAATGAATTTTCCAACTCGATCCCGAAAATCGTCTGGATATGCCGTAAACGGATTTTCCAACTCGATCCCGCACCAATCACTGCAAGGCTGCTCGGACCGCCTCTCTAACTCAGCCAATCCAAGCAGGCTTTTTATGCATGCAAATTATACATGTTCTGTACCCAAAGCTACAGTTCTAGTAAAAAGCCTGCTCAGATTGGCCAGAGTCAGAGAGGTGGTCTATTAAAAAAAGAACTGGTGTTGCCTCGGAAGTGGGGGGGTAGTCTTATACAGCGAATATAGGCCTAAACCTATGTTTTAACTGTAAAATTAGGGGGTCGTCTTATACGCCGGAAAATACGGTATAATTATTATCTCAGAATATTAGCTCAGGAAATACATTTTATAAAGATTGGAGGAGACCCATCTAAAATTAAGAAGAGACAGTCCTAGTGTAAGATTATCTTCAATAGAGTGCCATGAGCCACACCTACCAACATTTCCAGGGAAGATTTAGGTGACTGGTTAACGTTGACATAACAGAGCCTTTGCAAATCAGATAAAAGGAATTGCCCTCCTTTTCAGAAAATGCATCCAACTTCTCACATGACACACATTTTATAGTAACAGTAATTCACTAACTTCCTCAAGTCTATTAATATATAGTCCATAAGCCCAGGTTTGAATAAATGCATGAATAGCAACAGAAGTTAAGGAGATATTAGAGATTTTCTGCAGGTATTTTAGCCAAGGGAATCTCACTTTAGCTCTCAATCAAAATTATTTGTGGAACTTAAGTAAAAAAGGCAAGAACACATAGTTCCACACTTTTTCTTGGAGGCAGGGCAGCTATTTTAAGCTCCCACTTAAGGAGAAATTGGGGTGGACAACTAAACACTGCTACAGTCCATCCACGGAAGCCACTGGTGGACATGGAAAGAATACTGAACTCATGGAGAATGATATTCCTGATATTTGCACATGCATATACATACCTAGGATTCTAGTCATTTCACCAAAAAAATGTTCAAATGTGCAAGCCCTGGGGTGGTCTGTATATCATGACCATCTCCTCCTGAAATAATAAGGCCTGAAACAGCATTCCCAGCTGGAAAGTACAGATATTTGCCATTTATTGTTCAGGTCTCACAGTTGCATTTGGTAGTCACGTTTGCACTGTTCCAGACACACTTCATTTGGATTTGTAAATGTAGTATTTAAAAAAACTGCATGAAATGAAGACATGAACAAAAACAAGGTTTGCTCACATCATAAACTGCTGAGTGCTGGGAGGAGAAGGGGCTGATTCAGGGTCTAAGTTGAATCTCTGGCTTTGGCTGAAGATGGAGCATCGCGGTGACAGCAGCGGGTTGTCGCCGTCAGTGATGTGATAGAGCAGCCGGCTGGTCCCCAAAGGCTGGAGGTCTTCCGGTGCACTGTCTGCTCCATTCTGCCCGTCTTTGTGGACTGGTGCAGGGTCTGAGGAAACAAGGTAAGTCATCAAGACTCAGAAGGGAGAGAAGGCTTGAGACTGTCATATTCCTAAATAAGGGTCATCAACAGTCATTCTCTCTTGCTTCTTTGTTATTTCTTCCTTCTGGGGATATGAAGGCTTTCAAAACACTGTCATGTTTGTTCTCACAGAACCATAATAAAAAATAAATAAATAAATAAAAATTGTGTGCAAAGCCACCAGCAACAACAAAATGGAAACATAAATTGTTTCCGTATGAGTAACAGAATCAGCATAGCCCAAAACTACAAAAATCCTCTATTTCTTATTATCTATAATGATAAAAGCATGATGTGCTGATTAGACCAGATGACCTTCTGGACAAAGCCAGGGCTGTGAGGGAAGCCTGGGTCCTGGGTGCAGGAGGGGAGCCTGGGTCTAGGGTGCCAGAGGGAAGCCGATGCCAGCAGCTGGGGTAAGGAAGGCCTACGCTTGCACGAATTTCGTGCTTCGGGTCTCTAGTTTGTATTATGTTGAAGGATAAATTACAAAATGTTTAGTGAAAGAAAGAGAAAAAACACAATAAAATGAAGCTGGAACAAAAGATGATAGACTAGGAGGAAGAAAAAAGGTAATACAATTGCCAGTGAAGTAAGAGAGAGGAGAAAACAAAAAAGAGAAAAAGAGGAGTCCCCAGACAGAAACATATTCAGCAGTCATTAAAAAGATGGAGAACTCTGCTTATCAACATGGAATAATGTTCAAAATGTGCTACATGAAAAACACAGATTTCAAAATAGAACAGGAATTATAACACACACATTAGATCCTTGAATTACGTCAGAGATCAGTTCCTACGGCACAATGTAACGCGATTTTCACTGTGAGTCGGAACCCACCTACGTAAGCACCTATGTCATTCACATGGAGCACATACACAGCAGTAGTGAAGTGAAACAACAAAACCAATGAAAAGAAATATAACAATTCCTGACCTTTACTTATGGTAAATAAATAACAAAAAACAAAGTACATATGTACATACATTGAAATGATGGAACTTTTTTAAATAAATGGGAAATGGCGATGCAACCACGAAACAACAAACATCAAGTCCAATGTAACCCAAGGACTGTCTGTATTTATCATAGATTTAGGTGTAGAAATAAATGCACCGAAGGATCAAAGAAGCTGCATAGCACCTACAAAATATGGTGAAATTCGAATGATTCTGTCTCTTCTCCAAAATTTTAGGAAACATTTCATTTTGGACAGAAACAAAACACAAGAATAAAACCTTCTCCAATCACTCTTTGTGCTTAGACAGCCCTGTGCCCGATTCTCATTGTGATTATTCATTCCCTTTTTAAATGAGCTCATTAGCTCCCCACCCCTGTGTCGGTCTAGATGTGGGCAACCATGTTATAGAAGTCAGCAAGCAAAATGAGGAACATTAGGACACGAGTCTCTCCCTCGGAGGGCTCCGAACAGTTATTCAGCAAGCAACCAAAACCAGCTCTTTTTCAGTTACACCCAGCAAACAAGTCAGGACAACCAAAGGCTCTCTCTTACTCTTACTACCCCAAAGAAAGAGGAAAACGCAGATTATCTGGGTGAAAAAGCAGAATCTGAAAATACTGACAATCCACTCTTACAAAATAAACACTGAACATAATTTGGTACAAGTGAATCTTAATCAGGTTTAGAATGACTTGTGTTCTGTAGAGCCAGAAATGATGCTTTGTGTCAGCATCAAAGGTCTGATTAGGTTCTTGTGTGTTTTCAGTTGGCATCTTCCTGTTGGACTGTAGACCATGAGGGTGACTGACTTCTCCGAGGGTGCCTCACGGACAGCACCTCTGTCAGTGGCTGAGCTGGTCAGAACTGAGCAGGATGAAGGCTGGGGAAGAGCTAGAGTAGATGGATGCCAGGGCCCAGACCCACAGGCAAGGTGTGTGCTGCTGTGACTGACACAACTCACCACAGGCAACACTCTTGCTAAGAATAATTTACCCCAAAACAGTGTGGTTCTGGCAGGAGCCCTAAAGAATTACTAATCAATAAATCACAGCATACACTAACAATCACCTTCAAAACCCAGCAGGAGGCAGCTGGGTTCCTTTCCCAAATCCTTTTCTTAAAACAACAGGTTTAAACCATCTGAAATGTATTTTATTCCTATTACCTGTTTCTGGATAGTATCTTTTGATGATAATACCAGGGAAGAAAATAATCTTTAGCAAGTACCTGGAACAGGCATCTTTTCATGGAATTGGGAAAGGTCTGAAGCCTTCAGCTCAGCTGTGACCACCACCCCCTTCTTCAATCTCTACCCCTTCCCCCCCCAACCCCACTTCAAACTCATAAGAGTCTCTTGGTGCTGTTTTCTAAGGCCACAACAGGGGGGTGAGGAGGGTGGGCTTAGGGTACCCAGCCATATGACTGAGGTAGCAGCAACAAAAGGGCTCAGCTTCTGAAACCTGGAGTCCCAAGATGTAACTTCATAGAATCCCAGATTACTATGAATGGCTCTTTTTTAACTGCACTGCAATAGTAGCTGAAAACCTCCAGTTACATGGCATCTACTTCCTTGGTGTATGCAAATAATTTACCAGTGCTACCTAATTAGCATCCTGATCCCCCTGCCCCTACCTCAACACGACAGGACCAGTGAGCCAGAAACGTCCCAAAGTGACCAGTTGAAAATCAACAGTCAAAAACTCGTCATTCAGAATCATCTTAGGTCTTTGTCCAAACTTCCCATTGGAGCTGAAAGGCTTGATTAAATCAGCTGGAGCACGTCTACGTGTGCGCTTGTGCAGACAAAATCACTGAGCTCCTTGTTCCGGAGAGGCTAGCGTGGATGCAGAGCAGCCATCACTGCTGCCGTCTGGGAACAGAGCCCAGGCCACCAGGAGACTTGTCCCCAACAGGGAGAAGCTGATGGCAGTATTAACTCGGGTGGCTGCCGATGGTCCCCTGGGGGCACATGACTTTTCCTTCTCAAGGAAGGGACAGCTTTGCCAGGGCCCGCGGTGTGATGCAGCGTGGTTTAGAGGGAGGGGTCAGGGAACCAGGAGTCACGGCGTGCCTGTACTCTCTCCTGGGGCTCCGGTGGGGTCATCGACCTTGTCCAGCCCTCGTACAGGGCAGTGATAGAACAGGAGATTTTGCCTATAATTATTTTGCCTATAATTTTAAAAGTTGCTAAAAATGTAGCTCTCATGAATGTGTTCTTACAACAATAAAAAATGCTTTTTCTTCTTTTTCTGCTTTTTCTGCTTTGTATTTTCTAAAATTTCTGTAACAAAAAGTCAATTTTATAGAGAGGAAAAAACAAAGTTAATATTAAAACTTTTTAAAAGGAAAATAAACCTTCTTGAGAAATGAAGTGAGAAACCACCACAGAGGAAGCACATAAAAGGGCAAAGATAGTTTGAATCCCATGTCTACCACTTATTGAACTTCACAAATAATGGACCTTTCTGAACCTCAAGTTTTATACCTGTAAAATTAGGAGAATAATGGTACCTGCCTCAAAAGACTGAGAATGAAATGGAACTATCTTCACCAAGTTTTTGCTATACCACAGAAATCATTTATATATATATATATTGTGTGTGTGTGTGTGTGTGTATGTGATTATCCTATATAATAAATGCCTAATATGCAAATTGACCAAACAGCAGAACAACTGGTGGGACAATTGGGGGAACGACCAGTCACTATAATGCACACTGACCACCACAGGGCAGACGCAGGAGCTGCCCTAAGCCTGCAGGCCCAAGGCCAGCCAAGTCTGGTGCAGCGCTTCCTACCCTCCCCATCACCCCATGGGTAGGACAGGGCCGGACAGCAAGTGGACATTGCTGCCCCCTGATCCCCCCATCAGTTGCCTCCAAGGCAGGTGTCAGCAGAAGGTGGTGACCAGTGGTGTCAGTGGGGAGCAGGGCCGACAAGTAGGCAGTGCCCGGTCAGCCAAAGCAGGTGCCAGGGGGAACCAGGATTGCCCTGCCAATCACCCCTCAGATTGGCCCTGATCACCGGCCAGGCCTAGGGAGTTTACCCATGCACGATTTTTATGCACTAGGCCTCTAGTCCTATCTAATAAAGAGGGGATATGCTAACTGAGCCTCACTCCATCGCAAAGGTGGTGGCGCCCCATAGCCAATAAGGAGGGAATATGCTAATTGACTGCCATGACCTCAAATATGGCAGCGTCCACAGCCACAAGATCACGGTTGCCCAGTCCCCTCAGCCCTGCCAGGGCAGCAGGCGCACATCAAGACCAGGCCTGCCCCCAGGTGGCCCAGCTGCTCTGCACGCCTGCCTCAGGAATTCCCCACCCCCCAGCTGCCCAGGGCCAGCCCGAGGCACAGGCAAGCCTTGAATGGTGCTGCCTGAATGGTGCTACCCAGCTGCCCAGGGCCCCTAAGGTTCAGGTAACCAGGGCTGGCCAAAGCTTGTGCTGCTGGCAGTGGCAGTAGCAGAGGTGTAATGGGGCATCACCTTCCCCTGATCACTGGGTCTTCTCCTGCCCCTGAGGGCTCCTGGACTGTGAGAGGGAGCAGACCAGGCTGAGGGACCCCTCCCCCCCCTTCAGTGCATAAATTTTCATGCACCAGGCCTCTACTATATATATAAAAGAAGTACATGTTATATACATAAAAATTAGATATTTATTATGTATTTTATAGATTAATTTCAACCTATAACTTTTTAAAATTTCAGCTTCATTCTAGGCCACAATGGCCAAGAAATCATGAATTTGATGTGCTAGTTACATTTTCTTCTACCAATACACATTAAAATAAATTCCTATCAAAACTAGTAATGTTCACCCATGCATCTTTTGTATAGCTATGTTTTTGGTGAAACATTGAGATAGGGCATAGAAACTGCTAAAAAAAAAAAATAACTATAAGAACTATCATTTTAATAATAGCATCAATGTAAGAAAATTGAATAGTACCTTCTCTTATTGAACAACAACTATACCCTATAGGAATCTCTATGGGATTAATAT